TCACTGACCAGAGACAGTGAGGGGTCCCAGACAGAGATGCCCTCCCCTCTCTGTCTTGGATAGCTGTCTCCTTGAATGTCTCTCCATATTCTTGGCCCCTTCTCCCCCATTGTGTGGGCCCCCCAGGGCAGGGGCTGTGCCTGACTCCTGGAGTCTCCTCCCAGCACCCAGCCTTGCACAGAGTGTCCAGCGCAGGCAGAATGAGCTGAATCTTCTGTTTTCCTAACAAAGCAGCCAACTGGCCACTCTGGGGAGGGTCCGGGCAGAGAAGGGGTGATGCTGCCCACAGTGCGCTCACAGAGTGCAACTCTGAGAAGACAGTTTCAACAAAGTTACTGTCCCTTCTGACCTCTGCACGAGTGTCCTCCAGTCTGACCCAGGGGCCCTCTACCAGTCCACCTCACATCGGTTTATAGGCAGTTACCCTGGGGGCTGAGTCAGAGCGGCCAGATGGTGCCCCGCTGCCTGGTGAGATGCTGCTGGGCTGGTGGGCTGGGCAGTGGGTCTCAGTAGAGGCCCCAGGAAGAGGGCGGATGAGGTGCTGAGTCGCTGGAGATGCCTCATCTTACCCTTTTCCACTCCAAGAGCGAGTCCCTGGCTCTGTCCCCACCCAGGAGCATTATGTCATACTTACCATGAGCCAGGTAGCAGTGTATGTGTTTAGCTCTTTTAATATGCTTTATAGGTTGGAATGATGAGCCCATTTCTCAAATGTGGTAACTGAAGCTCAGAAAAGCTAGTAACCATCCCAAGATCACACAACCATTAAGAGGTGGGTCTGGGTTTTCATCTCAAGTCCATCTGACTCCCAAGCTGGCTCTCTCCCTGGCGAGGGACCAAGACCCAGGCTCAATGCCTGACACTGGAGGGACTGCGTGGACCACGCCCTGTTCTCAGAGAAGGTTGTCTGACTTTCTCTCCTTCCTTATATCCCAGAGGAGAGTCTGGAGAGACTCAAATGGAGTGTCGGGCATGAGGCAGAGGAAGGGGAGGAGAGATTCTGGGTCTAATGGCTTCTCACTGGACTTCCTTTCATTGATTTTCTCCACAGTGGAGAGGCTGGCTCTGTAATGGACTGGCAATCACTACTGCTCCTTACAGTAACATGATCCCGATACCCTCCAGGGACCTCTAGGTTCCAGAGACCCAGAACCCTGGGTTTAAAGGGGTCTCTGCATCCCTCAGTCCCAGCCCTCTGAATAGTCCAGAGGCCTCATGGGGAATGAAGTCTTTTCCTAGAATCTGAGGGGAACAATGGGGCTCCTCAAAGGTCATAGCCAACCGAATGGATCAGAGCAGAACTAAGACCCACCACCCCTTGAAGGATCAGAGAGAGGAAACCTGGCCCCTGGACTGAGCTCAGGGGATAAAGACAAGTACGTATGTGTAGGGGGTTGACCTGGTGACAACTGTATGGCAGAGACTTGGAAGGGTACATGTCAGGGCTGACTGGGCTGTGTGTGGTGAGAGAATAATACCAAGTATACTGTCTGGATTGATATTACTTCCGTCAATTCAGACCCAGCTTTTCACTCATGATCAATCACCAAAAGAAGCAATTAACTTAAGGGAGAGTAAATCTAAAACAGGGGTCTCCGGCCTCTGGGCGGCGGGCTGGCACCGGCCCGGGCCTGCTAGGAAGCAGGAGATGATCTAGAATGTGACACATTCGAATCATCCCAAAACCATCCCCCCACCCTGGTCCATGGAAAAACTGCTTCCATGAAACGAGTCGCTAGTCAAAGATACTTGGGAACCTCTGAACACGTCGAGTAGGGGGTGCAGTGCTCACCCTCGCAGCCTCTTCCTATGGAAAACACACGCGCTCTGACTCCCAGAGGCCTGTGGCTGGCCCCGGAACAGGAGGAAGCAGCGGCTGCCGCTGACCGATGCGCACACATCGTGTGGCTCTGGGGCTGCAGACGCGCCGCCGCTTCGGTGAGCGCCTCCAGCCCAGCTGCCACCACGTCAGCGCACGGCTGCCCGCGGACCCCATCCTGCCACGGTGGCTTTGAACTCGCCTTTCTTTTATGGAATAATATTCTGAGGAGTTGGCAGGTTTTTCTCTAATCCTTATTTGGCAAAATAAAAAATGATCAACGCTATGTTTCCCCAACTGTTTGGAAATGTTACTGGTCCGTGAAATGCAAACAACCGGAACTCTAATTAAAACTCGCGCGTTGTTAACCCGCCTGGGAGAGGAGAGGCTTGTGGAAACTGAGTCAGAACATGCCGTGCCACCTGCCCTTTCCGAACCAGTGGGAACCTACTATCCAGTGAGGGAGGGAGTGGATTTTTTCTCTCAAAGGCACCTCTGCCTCCTCACCGGGTGAGTTGTTCAAATCCATCTTTTCCAACAGGATCTGCTGCCTTGCTATGCCTTGGTGCAGAACTCGAGAGAACATCCTAAAATCTTAATGTGAGCGGATAAAAGCAGTACACTCATAAACCAGCAGCATTACACTTTCACAAGAATCCAGGGATCCATAAAGGGATGGGCAGGGGAGAGCGCGGGTTCTTTGCACATACGTCCTGCACCTCCAGGTTTATTCATCCGTAATTGCTGCGCAAGGATAAATCAGAACCAGAAATGCATCCTGCCTGGCAGTGGTGATACCAGCCCTGTAAATAATTATAATTTAATCTTATAGCCAAGAGTTCTGAATGACTCCCCTAACGATTTCCCCTGCTTAATTCCTTCCCCACTGAGTGACTTAATAGGAAAAGGAATAGTCTTTCAGATTTGTTTCACTCCAGAAGTTTAGACAACGTGGAGGCCCACACCTGGAGAGCAGACGCTGTGGGAGACCGCTGGGCCCACGGGTAAACAAGCAAGTCCAAGCGGCCTTCGGACCGGAAGGGGGCGAACTGGCAGGGATGTTCATCTCGGCATCTGTTTACAGAAGTGAAAACTTGGGAACAACCTAACACGGATCGGATGCGTCAAGTCTGCACAGTCGGACGAGGACGTGCCACGGAGCCAAGATAATTCTTCAGTATCATCTGAGCTAAGAAGATGGCCTTTCAAGGCCAACTAACCTGGGGTTGAATCCCAGCTCTTCCCCTTACTAGCTGTGTGACTTCAAGCATGTCACATAACTTCTCTGGGCCTCATTTTCCTCATCTGTAAACGGAGGACAAGTACGCTCTCCACTTCCTAAAATTTTTACAAAGATGAAATGAAATTATAGGTTTCAGAGCTTAGAACCAGCCTGCCACTTGTTGATAATAAATGCTCAATATATTGTATGATACTGTTATCATACCTATTATATTTTGTAAGTATATGTAATGATATTGGAAGTTTTTCATCATTTAATGCTAAGGTAAAAATATATAACTACAGGTATATTAAGATCCTACTTTTGTAATATTAAAATATATTCAAGTAGCCAGCTAGCTTGATCTAGGCAAAGCAAAAAGCCAAAGGAGAATACATAAAAATTTTAATACTAGTTATTCATTTCTCTGTAGCTTTTTATATTTTTCCTGTTTTCTATAAGGAACATATGCATTACATTTATAATCCGTAAAACAGGTATTTTACGAAAAGATGCAGGTGGACAGATGGTCTTCAGACGAGGCAGGTCACTGGGGTTGCCGTTCAGTGAAGGGTCATCTAGATTTTCACCCCAATGCCCGCTCCCATGTCTGGCTGTCGCCCCTGGACAGGACAGCAGCCTCCTCACAGCGATTTAACTCTGGGGCTCACACGTGCTCCTCTCAGCACCCTGTCCAGGGCGGCAAATGACCTGGCCCACTAACAGACAAGCGTGGGACACCAAGGTCTTCTGATCCCCTCCCTGGTTGGTTTGCCTTCACCAGGATGTCCTCGGGCTACACTGGTCCCCAGACGTCAGAGTCCGTATTTGGGAGGGGTCCAGTTCCACGCACTCCCCTTCACATAGTCACACGTGGCTCCCTCAAAGGGCCACGTCTCACTCCACTGGTGTTTCCGCCACGGCGGCACAAAAGCTGGGATACAACAGGTGCTCAATGGACGTGCCCCTGCTTCCTGTCTCCTTCCTCTCCCTTCCTTCCTGCACCCCCTTCCTCCTCAGCCCCGCTGATCCCTGTGCTTGGCAGGTACCCACTTCCTGCTCCACTTGGAGTCCCTGTGACACATCCTCTGCCCTCATCGTGGGCACCACGCCCTGCCTCCCTGACCCTGTGCGGCGATGGAGGCTGCAAGGATGCCCATCCTGTCTGAAGCACGTCTGGACACACCCTTCTACTGGCTCCTGATGTGCTGACACAGGTCCCCCCAACACCCTGATAACACAGTGACAAGGACAGCACAAGAGGGTGCTGGAAATGCCACCCCATCACCCCAAGGCTTGTCATCCAACAGGAAGCTGGACACTTGCTGAAGGCAACCTCAGACTGGGCACGTCCCGCAGGTCCAAATCTGGAAGAGGACAAGCCGCTGAGGCCCGTACGTCTTCACGGCCCCTCTCCTCCTGAGCCTGTCGGCCTAGAGAGTCCGCATAGCTGGCAGAGCACAGCACGAGAGGGCCGTGCCTTCCACTGCAACCAGGACGACGGGCAGCAGACGGCCCTTCCCTTCAGGAACCCAGACGCAACGCCTTTCCTGTCTCAGGACCCCAGGAGTGGGAAAAGCAACTGCCACTCAAGGTTTTATTCCCTTTGTTGGATGCTATAAATGTCTTCCAGAAATGGAATGATATTTCAAATCATTTCACTGAGACCCTGTCGACATCCTAAGACCAGAACATTTCTAGTCTTAATGCAAGTTACTCGACCAAAACCCACCATGAAATTCTTCAGCAAGGACACGCTTCAAATAAGATACCAAAATCACTGTAAAAATTTACCCACGCTCTAAAAATATGCAGTGACCTCTCACTGTGATGAGAGGAAAACTTCCAGCAGCGGGTATAGGAAGTGGCAAAGGGGCCTGGGGCAAAGAGGACACTGCATCCCAGGGAGGCGCAGGCACCAGGCACCAGGCACCAGGGAGGGGCGGGGACAGAGCTTACCAGAGGGAGGAGCCTTCGGTCCCCGTGACTTCCAGAAAGTCGTACCCGTCCTCCAGCTGGAAGTCAATGAAGACCAGAGCGATGGTGTCTCCCAGCTCGGCCAGAATAGTCCACGTGCAGTCGGCATTGTTGTGGTACTCCAGGGGGAAGTGGGGGCTGGAGATGATGCCGCTCTGGCCCCGCAGGGTCCCGCCACAGGCGTCGTCCGCTGTGGGCAAGAGACGAGAGGCTCCCGTGAGTGGGTCCTGTTCGCAGGTGCTCCCTGTGCACTTCACCCATGGGAAGCAGAGGGGTCCTGAAACCTGGTGCACAGACAGAATGCGCCAGACCCTAGTCTGAACTGGCCCAATGATAATGACACCAATGCTTCCACAGAGCTTTCCACGTGCCAGGCCCTGTTCAGAGAATGTTAGGTATCATTGTTCTTCCTGAACAGGTGAAGAAACTGAAGCTCACCAATGGTAAGTGACCTGTCGGGGGTCACAGAGCCAATGAGCTGGGATTTGAAGTCTGCCCTTCAGAGCACATTCTTAACAACCATACCGCAATGCTCCGTGATGGCCGGGGAGGTTGGCAAAGGCAGCGGTCACGGCTGTTTCCGAATTCACAACTGTGGTGAATTGGATGATTCTTCCCTCAGGTCTCAGTAAACCTCAGATGTAAGGAGCAAAACAAAAACTCAACTCTGCTCCAGGGGGCAGAAGTCGAAGGGCATCCCAGGCCTGTCACAGCCCGGCCAGACCTCTGCCACCCTCCCTTCCTCCGGCCCCCGGGCCCCCCCGCCAGCTCTGCTTTAGCACCTTGCACACTCCGACCTCCTGCCCCCGCTCCACCGTTCCCCCTGCCGAGGTGCCCTTTATCTGGAGCCGCTCTTCTTACGCTTTGGGACCCAGTCCAATGCCGCCTCTTAGGAAAGCCTCATTTCCCCAAGCTTTTAGAAACCGCTCTCTCCTCTGGGCTCCCGCAGCAATGTGTGCGACTTCAGACATGGCCTTCACACTGTCTGAGTGACCTGTTCACACGTCTGTCTTCCACGCGGGGGCCGAGCTCCGCTGGGAGTCCCCGAGGGCGGGGACGGCGTTTTACGCCTCCCTGCAGCAGAGCTGGATGTCGTCTCGCTGTTCCCAGCTGAAACCTGACATTCAGGGAAAATGACCCGGGGACCATGCGCTCACATGTAATAGTTAATAGCACTGGCTTTTGAGTTAAGTCTGACCTCAGTTTCAGTCCTTCCCCTGCTGCTTACGAGCTGGGCCACCTGCCCTCCCAGAGCCTGTATGAAAGGGATTGTAATACACGTAGCATATGCTGCGTTAGAGATGTGGACTAAGTTGAAAGGAAAGGAAAAATGCAGTATCAGGGTTCACATGGATATCATAGGAGGCGGAGTAATATTAATAAAAGTAATATTTATTGAGCACTTCTACCATAGCAGGTGCTATTCTAACTACTCTATGTATTTAATACTAATCCTTACTATGACCCTATAAAGTATCATTCCCATTTTACAGGCAAGAACACTAAGGCACAAAGAGATCCACTGATCTGTCAGAGGTGACACAGTTCGCACTGAGGAAAGGAGCTGGAATTCTAAACCCCACAGTCTGATTCCGGGGCTTATGCTCTTAACCAACATACTCTTCTGTCTCCCAGGAGTGCAGTTCACACTTGGAGGGCACAGGTAAAGTGACAACTACTTTGCTTGGGTAAGTGAATCTGGGAAAGCTTAATAGGGGAGGTGCTATTAGAGTTGGGTTTTGAAGGATGAATAGGAGTTCACTAAAGAGAGAAGAAAGGGAAAGGTATTTAAGAGAAAAGGGAGCCAAATATAAGCAAGAAGCATGAAAGCACAAGGCATGTCTAAGACCAGTAGCTCCAGAAGGCTCGTCACAGAGAAGAAAGAGAAGAATGATGGGCCACGGTGCTGGAAATGTAGAAGGAGCAACACGGCAGAGAGCACTGGGCCGAAAGGGATTTGGACACAGAGGAGCATGTTGGAAAGAAGATGGATTTCAAGGCCAAGAGAGGTAGATCTGAATTCAGGCTCCACAACTTCCCAGCCATGTGACCCTGGGTGATTTATTCCCCTAAGTCATTTTGCTTCTCTATACAATGGTTTCTTGCAGTAACTCAATGGGATAATGAATGTGACAGCACCCAGCATTCACCAGTGACTGGCATATGGTAGATGCCCGGCAAATGCTAAGTTCTCCTTTGCCTTCCACTTTATCTTAAGGATCAAAGCCAGTGAAGAATATGACTGCACTGGCATCTGGGAAAGGTCCCTGTGGCTGGGTGCAGAGGACATCTGAGCTGGGGAGGCGCACAGGACGCTCTGGGTAGGTCATAGTTGCCTAAGTCCATGTGAGGCTGGATGAGATTTTAGCTGGGGTCGTGGGGAGGGTGGGAAGGGCTTATCTGCGAGATATTCAGGAAGTAAAATCTACAGGACTTAGCACTTGGGAGGGATGGGGTCCAGGCTTCCGTCATGAGCATGGATGGATGGACAGAAGGTGTCATTTGCTGTGGCAGGGACACCAGGAGGGGAGCACCCCGTGGTGTGGAAGGCCACCAGGAGGGAGGGCAGTTTTGGACACCAGGCTGGGCGTGTCTGTGGGATGTCCTGGTGGAGAGGTTGAGGTGACAGCTGGATATACAGGAGTAGTGTGAGACGGAGACAAAAATGAGTTGATTCAGTGGCCCAGAATTATTTTTAGTAATGCCATTCTACAAGGTCAAGGTCTATTTCAGGAGAATGAACTCATTTCTAAATTCCAGCTGTCAGGTATGTCTGAGAACAGCCATGATGGGGCCTCACTCAGTAGGTGTTCATGAATGTTTCCCTCTCACACCCATAAACAGAGCACCTACTGTGTGCCAAACACTGGACCAGGGCCAGTACTACCTTATGAAAAACTCGATGTCATCCCTGCCCCCAAGTGTTTCTCAGAACAGGGGCACCCAGCAGACACGCAGTGGCTCCCCAGAACTGTGACAGCTGAGGTATCAAAGCACCGTGACCACACATTGCACTCAGGAAAGGCTTCACAGAGGAAGCAACATTTGTGCTCAGACATTCATTCAACAAACGTTTATGGAGTGTCTACTGTGTATCAGGCAACATTCTAGGTGTTGGGGACTTATCTGCAAATAAACAAATTAAGCTTGCCTGGGTGGTTCAGTCAGTTAGAGGGTCATCCCGATTCACTAAAGTTGCAGGTTCAATCCCCAGTCAGGGCACATAAAAAGATCAAACAACGAATGCAAAATAAATGGAACAACAAATCAATGCACCCCCCCACCACTTCAAAAATCAATTAAAAATTTTATTCAAAGAAAAATCCTACCTTCCTGGAGGTTACACTTTAGTCAGAGGGAAATAGGCAATACCTGAGACACAAAATAAACCCTGGGGTGAACGAGGTGGTGGTAAACGCAGGAGGACGGGGAGTGGGGACACGGACCTTTCAGGGAGGGCCTCACTGAGAAGCTGACCCTGGGGCACGGATCTGAAGGAGAGAGAGGCAGGTAAGTGGCATCTGGGGGAAGAGCATTCCAGACGGAGCAGCAAATGCAAAGGCCACAGTGCAGAGAGGCACCGTTGAAGAGCGTCAGGGACTCGAGGGGCCGGAGTGGTGCAGGTAAGCGGGAGAGTGTAGGGCATGAGGCCCCAAGGAAAGCCTCTGTAAGGATGTGGGCTTTGCATTCAGAGGAATGAAAAGCCAGTGAGGATTCTGAGCAGACGGTGACATGATCTGATTTGTGTATGAAGAGGATCCCTTGAGCTGCCACTGTGGACATAGAAAAAGAGGCGTAGGGGAGAAGGCGGGGCCTCTAGAGGCTACTGTGATGAGCCGGGTGACAGATGATGGTGTCTTGGCCCAGGTAGTACCGGTGAGATATAGTCAGAGCCTGGCTCTGTTTTGAACGCCAACCTGGTAGGATGCACTCCATCTGAGATCTGACTGCCTGGCAGGCCGGAGGGGAGCGGGTGTCCTGGGCAGAGGGAACAGCGAGAGAAGGCAGCTGCGGTGGGTGTGTGCGGCACGCTCAGGGACGTCCTGGTCAGCACCGTCTGACCTCAGACGGAAAGGCAGCGATGGCAGCACTGCTGGGCAGGAGGTTATGGGCTGCGCTGTGAAAGGCCTTCAATGCCCAAGGAGCTGTGATTCGATTCTCCTCATCCTCCCTTCCACCTTCGCTACCCCCTAACCCAGATGCCCAAGCCCCAGGAAGGAGGCAGGGAGAGGAGGGAGGCAGCTTTGCCTTGCCTGGCTTTAAATCCGGGTTGCTGATGCTGTTTATTTGTTGTATGAAGTGGCATGGTATTTCCACCCCAGGTGCCTCACAGGCAGCAGGCTATGAAGTCTGACATCCAAGGCAGAGTCTCAGAGCCTCTTTCTGATGTATAACTTCGCCGTGACCACTACTGAGGAGATAAGCTACAGGAGCCGGGCAGCAGGCCGATCTGTCAGTGTTGCTCCAGCAAGCACAGCCCTGCTGGCCCCCAGCAGTCCCGCACGGGCCCTGTCTACACCAGGTGAGACCGCCTACACCCCGAGCCTCAATGGCTTGATCTTGACTGCATTGGATGTTAGGAAAGTCATGGTGACGGAAGGGACACTTAGCCTGGACCTTGAGAAAGGAGCTGGAGTGTGCTGGAGGGAGGAAAAAAGGGGGTTCCCGGCAGAGGACATGGACATTCAAAGGCAAGGGCGCCTGAGGGGCGTGGTGTGCTTGGGGGATGGCCAGCTTCCCACCACCGTGGAAGTGCAGGATGCATGCAATGAGTTGGGTCAGCAGGGAAAGAAAGGAAAGGCCTGATGATCTTGCCAAGGTTCGAATCCTTCCCTGCAGGTGTCAGAACCATCGCAGGGTGGGAAAGCCCAGCCCTGCTTTGGGGCGGTGGCTCCGTTCCCCACGTGATGAACAGGTGCTGTGGCTTGGGGTGATGAGGGTGGCTGGTGGGGAGACAGCCTTGAGGAGAAGAGTGAAGAGGGTGTTCCAGTCATCGACGCCTGAATGAATGGCAATGGCAGTGGGAGGAGGGGAGAGAAGGAACAGGAGGCATTCAAGTGCCAGGGGGCAGGGGGAGAAGCTGGAGGATGTGGTCTCTAGCCAGGAGGGGGCAGTGAAGGAGAGGGGGAGGGAGGGAGAGTGGTGAGGTCTCTAACGGGGGACAGTCCTGATGATGACAATGATGACAAT